TAAATTGGTAAATTGACATAAATGGCTAACTCATGTCCCGTGGTGGAAAACTATACAAAATTTAATTCACCACTCGTGGTGAAAAATTAAAAAAGTTTCACTCATCACTCGTGGTGAAAAAACTATAAAATAAATTTAAATCACCACTATTTTGTTGTTTATTTTTACACAGGCCTCATCAGTTTGGCTACTGGCATTGATCAAAAATTGCAGCCACCGACCAGCTGTGCTTAAGAATAAAGAAATCTTGCAATTTGCATTCACCGAACTGCTCTCCGATGATAGCGGTAAGTTGTCGAAATATCGAAAAAAAAGTCAACGTGCTACATACCTCTTTTTTGTCTCTTCTGTTGTAGAGTTCGTGCAAGATGTTGCCTCGCGTGGCTTAGGACTTGTCTACTCACTTTCGGATACCAACAGTCAAAATGATTTGGCCAATTCGCTTTTGGACCAATTGATCGGCGGCAAACGACAAGTAAATAAAGTCAGTGAGGAAACGGAGCTCTTCGCTGAAGGCATGCTGGGCAAAACGCCTACTGGGTAAGTATATGTTTAACCAAAGAATGATAGATAAATAGAAACTTTTTATTTTTTAACACACAGTGGCAACATAACCACCTACAAGGAACTCTGCTCACTCGCTTCCGATCTCAATCAACCCGAGATGGTCTATCAATTCATGCAATTGGCCAATCATAATGCCGCTTGGACCAGTAAACTGGGCGCTGCTTTCGGCTTGAAATCGATAAGCGCTGACTCGAAAGCCAAAATGCAACCCTACCTTGGCAAGATCATACCGCGTCTGTATCGCTACAAATACGATCCAACRCCGAAAATACAAAACTCAATGATTTCCATTTGGGATTCGGTCGTAAGCGATCCGAAAGAGTCGGTGGAAAAGTATTATTGGGAAATTTTGCGAGAAATATTGGACAATTTAACGTTCACCGAGTGGCGTGTGCGCATCGCTTGCTGTTTGGCAGTACGTGATTTGCTCAAACGRCCGAATGGTTTGCGCTTGCGCAGTGATGAAAAGAAACTGGATGCCATACGGCAGAGTAAGGCTGAAAATGAGGCGAATAAAAGCGTCGCCAACACACCTATGGAAGTTGGTAAGTTGCAAAACTCGACAGGACGATTATAAGCGAATGAAAATTCGGCTATTGACGTGCTCACCTCGCATTTAACGACTCTTTTTTTTCAAAAGCGTTAAAGCAGCGGAKCATTTTTATTCCTTCGCATAGCACCCCTTATAGCGAATATAAGCTTATAAGTACAGTTATATAAATAAGTTGCAAAAGCTCTTTSGTTTCTGCGCATACTACCGTTAGATCGAATATTATCACTCTTTTTGTGCAGATTCCTCGATATATTTCACTATATGTACAAAAATATATATACGAATGTTAATTAAAACACTTTCCTTCCGCTCCAACATCGCCCCTCCTTATCCTTATATATATATATATTTTTTTTGTTTTTTGTTTTTGATAATTTCGCTTTGTATTTTCCAGATGAAATACCCGAGCCGGAACTGCAAGAGCTATGGGCGCAATTGTTTCGCGTCATGGACGACATACACGAGGGCACGCGCTTAGCAGCACAAGGATCTGTTATG